GAAGGGTCTCGGGGAAGTCGCTGCAGCCAATGCCGTACACCACCAAGGCGAAATAAATAGGCATGTTTACATTATTTGTAGCCACAGTCTCAACGTTTGGACAAGGGTAAAGTTAGCAAGATTTCTAGGCTCACAGTAGAAGCCTAGTAATTTGAACTCGACATATAGTATGGGGGCAATCCATCAAGCTACAGGTGCACTTCATTAGGCAGCCCCGAAGTAGTCTTCACTCAAGCCACTGATCATACTTTGATTGCATACATGTGTATACACTACAGAGAAGCTACTCAGACTTCAGCAACCTTGCACATATACATGTATCAAACAGCTATTGAGCATCAAGAGATCTTGTGTTTGAAACTTCCTGTGGAATCGCCATAAGTGCCCTCATGTTGCAGAGGTGAAACATGAATCAAAGTAATACAGTAGCTTCTTGAACTAAGACTACTTACATGTAGGTGTTTGATTTGACACTATTGCCTTCTAAATACAGGATAGCCCTTTATCTCATAAAATAACATAAATCCTTGTACATGAACTCAGCTGGAATATGGCACATAACATTTTCTGTCTTGCATCAGTATTTATGAAAAGTCACCCTGGCGTGCCAGTACGTTATTTTGTCATAATGTGTACAGAAGTCCAGTATATGTACATGTATGACTACATGTGGGTTTGGAAACTAAACACCCAGGTTTAAATCACTTGAGAATCGAGACGCCCAATATGATAACATGATTAAGTCATGATAAGTTGTAATCACTTCTTTCAAGTTGGACCAAGCAGTTCACGTGCAGGAAAACCCCAAATATACCTGTATTTACAAATTTATATACAAATAAAGATGAAAGGTAAATTCCATACTACATTTGGCCCTGTTAAACAAAAACAAACACAAACCATTCGTTCCGATCCTGTTTGGCAATTTAGAAAATAAAAATGTAAAAGTACTGTAACTATTTATGGAAGTTTGGTCTTTGAGAAGTTAACATTCACAGTGGAATGCTTAAATCAAGGATACAGAACAATGCATACGGCATACAGCCAGGTGTGCTTCGCTCAACAGATCACAGTATCCAAAGGCACTCTACACTACGAAGGTCTATGAGCAACACTTGGGATATTTCACTCTTTTTCTTTCTTGGTCAAGAGACTTGACAGGGAGCAGTCCTACCTAGATGTATACGTGGCTTTCATGTATATGTATGTGTATGTATAGGTGCAACTGAAGCTAACATTGCAATAAATTCACACATTCACACAGTTTCCCTGGTATTTTTTGGACTTGTGTTCCTATCCGCGCCGAGCAGAACAAAAGAGGGTGTTTGTAAACAAAAGTGACGGTCCTTACCAACTCATTGCATAGGCGCGCAGGTTTATGCACATTCGACATGAAGCACTCTGAATACGCACAATGAGTTTATTATGGAACTTATGGTCCTTGCGTACATGCAGAACGCGTGCAAGAATCCGGTTGTAACCAACTGTCTTTCTTTTGCCGATTGGGGGTGCACTTCAGCTCGGGGCGGATAGAGTACTAAAGTGTGACGTCATTTTGAACCGGGAAGTGTAATGCAAACGCATGAAGTACGCCCATGCTGGTTCATGGGCTGGTCCTCGCGCTCATACCTTTTACACGCATGATAATGTGCATGACAAATTCACATCAGTACCCTACCCAGCCATAACCCTTCTATGCTGAAGTCACTCTTTGGGTCACTTGGTAAACATGCCCCTCAAAGAAGCACAGCTGTGTCGCGTTGTGCATGGCACCAACGTGCGAGAGAGTGACCTTGGGCACTTGTGCATATTTGTCTGTAAAACTAAAGGAAGGTTAAAGAACTCACAAAAATATTAGACTCATATACATGGGCAGTACTCATCACATATACACGTTTACATCACATGTGCATTTAACACTGCGTGGACATGTTAAAACCATGCAGCGCAATTCCTCATTTTTCTCAAAGCTGTGCATGCTATTTTAAGCTGGAGTTTCCTCGTGTGTTCCTCTTCCTTTTGTTTCCAGAAAACCCTGACCCCCCCAAATGCCTCTAAACCTGCTTTTAGAGAGAGGACAACCTTGTGTGGACCTGGCTTAGTCCACACAAGGCTCACACAACCACAGTATGAGGCCTGCTTTGTACTCAGGTCCACACAAAGATGGCAACATTGGCACACAAGTTAATTAAGCATAGTATCTTGTAGTCAAGACCACTAAGGACCTTCACAAGACCAGTACAAGACCAACACAAGACCTCCAGTCTGAAGTCAAGCCACAAATACTTTTCTAAAGTGCAAACAATTTTGTAGTTTCAAAGTGGCAAATTGTTAGACCCACATTTGGATCTGCTTTGCAAGAAACCAACGACCTCTTGTGCCATTTAGGTGTACATGTGCCATATATTTTCTTCAAACACATTTCCTAATGCCACACTGTGAGAATGTATAATCAGTATATTGAATGCACCTGTTCATAGTCTCTGCAGTTTGCTGTTGAGCAACTGACCTCAAACATAATGACATAGTGCAAAGTTTACCGCAGTGCAGGTGAAAAGTGGGGATACAGAATCGTCAATCACGGGAACCTTCGCGTGACTTTAGAAGGAGCTTGGTCTTGTGGACGCTTGACAAAAATGCAGCTCTGGCGTTTGTTGTGTGCTAGATACACACAATGGCGTACAACAGTCAACAAGAACCATTTTGGAAAACATAGGCCTTCTCTATCTCAGGATCTTTCTGACAATTTTCCATGCGCGTGGTTCTAGCAATAGTGGGCATTAATGGGCATGACTGTCTTCCCCACTTTTCACCCACAATGCACCACAGTAAACACTGGGTTAAATTGTCAGGTTTTAGGTCTATTCCCATGCAAGTTTAAGACACATTACAGAATGCATCACAGCTGAAAATTAGACAATTATTTTGAAGCTTCTGTTCAACTGTTCTACCGCTCTGATGATGAACCACAACTCCTGTGCATTTTGAATGCACTATTTACATATCTTATCTTACATCTCGATCAACACTGAACTACAGGTACACCTATCTACTTTTATATGTATTAGCACATAAATACACTTGGCACCACTCACCATCTACAATTCTCGAACTACATGTACACTGATGCAGTAAAGCTATACATACTTTATACAACACCTGAAAAATCTGTGTCCTTACATCGGTAAACTGTCAATCACATGACATGAATTATTCATAACACATGGCAAATGGCTGCACCACACACACAAATAATGAATAATCTTGATACATGATAGGATGTTGAACTCCTGTAAGGTACATGTACAGGCAACATTATCAGTTATCAGTTATGAGTGGAACATAGTGCAATGTGCCTGCACCCCGTACACCACA